CACATATATATACATACATTTCCATGGTCGTAGATTAACTTTTATTATGGTTATTACAATTATTAATGCAGGAAAAAGAGATAATAATGAAGTCGAATCTGAGAATAGTTGGGGAACAAAATGAACAATTGAAGCATGAAAATGAATCCCTAAGAATGGACAACCTCTTGGTGGATCAAAACTTGCAATTTCAGTCAAAAGAACTGAATCAACTTAAAAGTGAACTTGACATATTGAACCACGAGCACAAGAAGCAAAACGAACTTGTGAAGACACTTTCAGATCGTCTGGTAAGTTCTCCATTTCCTTGGAATAATATGCACGAACATGTATATTTCTGATGTCTAAATCAGTACATTAATTTATAATTGCAAAAAGAAACCAAATTATGGTCCTGGGTTCATTGGCTCATCCCTTTTGTAGGTGTGCTTGTCTGATCTTCAGAATAAAAATGTGGAGCTCATAAGAGAAAACTTGCTACTGAGGCAGAATAGCAGCTTGAGTCTTGAGTCCATAAAGCTTGTTGAGGAGCATGCAACATTACAGCTTCAAAACATGATCCTACGAGCACAAAAAGATGCTTTGTGTGGAAAGTTGGTGAGAGACGGGCAGTTAAAAAAACAATCAAGCATGAATAATTATCAGGAATGAAATTAATAATAAAGAGTAAAGATTTATTTACATACAAATTTTACATATTATATTTATATAAAAGCTTAATTATTTATCTCTTTATTTTTAATGGTTGAGATTTATTTACATTTATTAAAAATAATTATCTCTTTCACCTAAAAAGTAATAACAAATTTCAACCATTAAAAGTAAAAAAAAATCAATGGTTAGATTTTGTATAAGTGTGATGTGTAAACTTGTATATGAATAAATCTCTCACTCATAATAAGATGTCATTTACTTTGGCTAAAAGTCCCATATGGCTTAGTAAATTTAATTTATTCATATTTTTAAAAATTATTTTTTTATTTTAAATCAATGTTATTATCTACTTAATATTATATAGATTTAAATCTTGATTTTAACCTCAAATCAAAATTTTTAAGATAGTGTGTAATTGATCAAATTCTTAAATTCTTATTAGCTCAACTTTAACTTCTATAAATAAAAAATATATTTTCAATTTTTTAATATTAGATTTTGTGGGGTGGGGTTGAGTTAAAAAGGAAATTTTCATGGGTTAAATGGGATTATGTTTGTTGTAGTAAGGTGAAAGGGGGTCTAGGGGTGCTAGATTTGTGTAGGAGAAATGGGGCATTATTAGGGAAGTGGTGGTTTAGGTTTGGTGATGGTGTGGAGAGTTTATGGAAACAAGTGGTGAGGGAAAAATACTATAGAGGTAGGAGGGAGGTGGATATTACTGTAATAGAGAATTTGAGAGTGTCTATGGAAGGATCTTAGTGTCTAAAATTTGAAAAGTAGAGTGTTATTTGAAAGTATTATATAATCTTATTCATTAATGGAGAGGTCTTTTTAAACGTGGGGTCATCTTTGCTCAATTAATAGTTATTTTTGCAATGGTGATACATGGATAATATTTTTTTATCACTCTTTTTATATAATTTTTACATATTATTAAGTAGATATTGAGTATAATCAAGATTATAGATTCCAAATAAATGAAAAAAAATCAATTATTTAAATAATATATAAGTTTATACTAAAAATAAAAATAAAAAATTATCCCTAAATCATAATCCTTATTTTTCTTTGTCTAACTAAGACGGATTTCGAAAAAAAGTGAACCTATATATAGAAAGAAAAGTAAAATTTAAGACTAATTCACATTTTAAATGTTAAAATTACTTATGAAATTATTCAAGTATTATTAATGAAACTTTTTTTTTTTGTTGTTTCTTTTTTGTTTTTTATTTTTTTTTATTATTAATTTTGACATTTTAGTTACCTAGACATTCTAATTTTGAATACTCTTAATGGAAAAAGTGATTTGTAGTATGTCTTCTTGAGGACATCTCCAAAAACTTTACATTTTAATTAATATTTTTAAAAACAAGCTATTAGGTTGAAGGTTATATTTATGTAAATTATACATGTTAATTTTTCAATTGATCTAATATATTTAATTAACTCATTGATTAAAAAATTTTATCATTGTTAAATATAATATATATCAAAAGTTTCTTAACTAAAGAGTGATAAATATTAGATCAATTTGAAAATTAACATATACTATTTACATAAATAAAAAATTTAATTTAATGATTAATTTTTGAAAATATTAATTAAATTTAAGTTTTTAAACAAATCTTTTTAAAAAAATCTAAGAAGACCATATATACTATACTAATCTCTCTTTCTATATATGTAGCTTGTTTTATTTGATATAGCAGTAATGATATAATTAAATTATTATGTAGGATTCTAAATTTACAATGATAATGTATTATTAAATGAGTAAATACATATAATATTATAAATGAATAGTTAAGTAAAAAAATTAATTATATGACAACATATCATGATTGTAAATTTATAATACTATATGACATTATAATTATATCATTTTTAGTTAATTTAAAGTCTTATTTTTCATAAATTAGTTTATAAAAAAAATATTTTTTATAAATTAAAAAAGTAATCTATGCCGTTCAAACCACGATAAAAATCCATGAGTAAATACATATAATATTATAAATGAATCGTTAAGTAAAAAAATTAATTATATGACAACACATCATGATTGTAAATTTATAATACTATATAACATTATAATTATATCATTTTTAGTTAATTTAAAGTCTTATTTGCCATAAATTAGTTTATAAAAAAAAGATTTTTTTATAAATTAAAAAAGTAATATATGCCGTTCAAACCATGATAAAAATCCATAGTATGTATCATATGATAAGTAATTATTGATTAATGAAACAAACATCGTGAAAGTTTAATAAAATAATAATAATAATAATAGATTGTTATTAATTTTATCATATTATTAAAATTGTTAAATTTGTATTATAATTTAATTGTTAAAATAGTTAATAATTGATAAAATAATTAATATTTATTATTTAATAAATAAAAATGAATTTATAAATAAATATTTTTAAACTCTAATAAGATAACTTAACGATTAACACTTTAAAACTTTAAATTAGATATTTCATATTTAAATTTTGAGTTAGGTGAAAAAGAATTTAAAAATAAAGAAGGGTTGTCCTCTTCTACATAACTTATAATTAGATGTACAAAAAAAATATTTTCAAATATCATAAGTAATTATTTAAAAAAATTATAAATTGATAAATTTACATAATAGTAGTCATAATCTCGAGAAATGACTATAGCAATCAATAAGAATATTAAGGCCACTAAATTATAAAATATTATTTTTAAAAATACTATTAATATTTTTATGCTTTATAATAAAAAATAAAATATTAATAAATTTAACACTTTATATAATCATAGTAACCACCTACGTAAGTCCAACTCTACCCACCCAACTAATTCCTAGAAATTTCTAAAGACAAGAAAATTAGTATATTTTATACACAACTGTCTGTAAGGTGCATTACAGGTGGGTAAAGCAAGTCAAGCACGAAGTTCCCCAGCACGTGTGACAAATTAACATGCCTTGTCATAAGCCAAATTG